GATTTTTCGATTTTCAGACTTAATCTAAAATATATGAAGATTACTTATTCATCTGACCTAGTTCAATAAGTTCTACAATTGGAACACCCATCTTGATGGATTGCACTGCCATTTTTGTGATACAATCTACCAGTGAACCTCTAGCTCAGTGTACCTTAGAGAAAAGGCAAGCATCATAGAGGCAGTAAGACAGGAAATACATAAATCCTTCTTTTCATTTTTTCCCCTCTAGAGCTTACCGGTTCGTCCGTAGTGCGGGGCATGGCCCTGGCCTGGCAGCAGACGGCAGCCATATTGATCAAGAGGTTCCACCACAGCCGCAGAGACTGGAAGGGTCTGATCGCCCAGATCCTGCTTCCTGTCCTGTTCATGGTGTTTGCCATGGGCCTGAGTTCCATCAAGAGTGACTTGCAACACTATCCGGAGCTCGAGCTCAGCCCTGCGCTTTACAAATTTGGACGAAGCTACTCTTTCTTCAGGTCAGTCCCCACGGCACGCCAGGGAGCACTGGGAGGGGAGTACACCGAAGTAAACAAGGCTAATCAGGGTGCTTTTACACCAAGCATGTTTGGAGCAGTTCAATCGAACTCTAAAGCTTTGCTCTTTTATTTCAATTCATTTGGAAAGGTCACACCAATGCCACTGAGACTCAGGTGGCAACAAGTAACCACACTGAAAAAGTGGGTCTTGTCCAAGCAAATGTTGACTGAGCAATTCCAGAAAAAAACTACACTTGTTGTAGTTTAAATGTATAAATGTGGCAAATTATGGCAACAGCTACAGACTAATCGTCATGCTGTGTGTATCTCAAGGGATATCTCTGTTATACTTGGTTTGTGGCAAAGGGGGGTGTTGTATTATATTGTCATGTTCTGGCGTTTCCAAAAATGATCCTGCTTCAAGATCAAAAGATCAAAATTTTAAACCACAAAGCTCCTAACTCACAACTTTGATGAAGAGTTAATGCATCTTGTTACTTGATTGGGTTCCTGCACCATTTGTAAGGGGATCGCATGTCTTACTTGTTATAAAATGAATTTGAAGCTGTAGTTTGTTGAAGGGCAGACAGACCTTAAGGAGGGGGAGCAAGAGAGAATGTGAGCGAAAGACATGATTGTGATGAAGATGGCTGAGATGCAAGATCAAAGAAAGAGAGATTAAGAGTGTCAGGAGGTTGCAATGAACGCCTTCATTCTTGAGAAGTGCTGTTGTTTGATCAAGGAGATATGTAGCATGGGACAAAAATGCTGAGATGCCAATCCATATCAAAGACATTATAGATGCTCTGCCCAGTCCTCTTTAGCTTAATATACATTACATTATACATATACATTTTTTATTTTTTTATTTTGAATTAGATTAGTGTGAAGTTTGTGGGATACTGAAGATGTTTGTAGGTATTTGATGGTCAAAGATGCTTCATCCATCCATCCTTCCATTTTCCTGCTCCTCCTGGTGAAGGCGTTCCAAAGCCTGAGGAGACATCCTGATTAGATGCCTAAACCACTACAGCAGCTACACTCCGAGCTCCCTCAGGCTGTCTGAGCTCCTCAAAGGCTGAGCACAGCCACCCTGCGGAGGACACTCATTTTGGCCGCTTGTGTCAGCGATTTCATTCTGTCGGTCACCACCCAAAGCTCATGACCAGTGGTGATGGTTGCAACGTAGATGCAGTTTGTTAATCGAAAGCTTTGCCTTCTGGCTCAGCTCCCTCTTCATCATCAACAGTCTGCTACAATGCATGCATTACTGCTGAGGCCACACTAACCCCCCCGTCACTGACCTGCTCCATTTTACTCTCACTCGTGAACAAGATCCCAAGATATTTCAACTCCTCCAGCAACTCACTCCCAACCCGGAGGGAGAAATCCACAGTTTTCCAGCAGCGAACTGAAGCCTCAGACTTTTCTCATCCTCACTGCTTCTGTCTTCTCTTATTGTGTCACATTGTATGAACTTTCTGAGGGCACTGTGCTTTCAGACCTGCCTTTATGAACTGCAAATGTAATGATCTGAATGTTTATTTATGAGCTTACCTCTGTGTGTGTTTAAAGGCAGGGAAAGGCTCAAATAAAAGAAATCAACTAAAATGTAAAATGGCAAATCAAATGTCCCAAGGATGTTATATTAGACTCACTGACTGTGCCCCCATGGTCATTTTATTGACAATGTTGTAAATTAGTAAATTGCTCTTAATCTAGCTTCTCTATCAAGAAAACCTTGATAAACGGCAACACTGAATTCTAATTCTTTATAAAACCCCAGCCGCCAAAATCGATTTAAATAATCAATATTAACTAAACCCAAATCTGTCTGTCTGCTGATGCCATGCTAGAGCCTTATGAAATGAAGTGAATCTTTTCTTTGTGTTACTTCATGTTATTATTGTTGTAATTATGACTAAAATGTCTTTGTTACCTTTGAACTGAGGCAGACTATTTGTTTTCTGGCTCCACAGTAACCAAAATCCCAACTCCAGCCAGTTGACGGACGCCATGATGTCATTCCCTGGGATCGATAATTCCTGCCTCGACAAGTCTTATAAACCGTAAGTTATCACACCTCAAATGCAATTTTTTCCCTTCAAAATTATAAATTTGTCAGTGATGCTCTGAGTGCCTATGCTCAGTTTCCCTATGTATTCTACCCTTATCCACACATACAGTGTTTTCATATTTCACTCATTGTCATTCTTTTCATGCCTTCTCTTTCACCTTGTTTCATTTTACTAGTCTGTCTCCCACCAATTCCTGTTTCTCTCTCTCTCTCTCTCTCTCTCTCTCTCTCTCTCTGTCTCTCATGTCCCTCTCTTCTATTTTCCCACTGCTCAGCTCAACGTATGTGGCTGAAAGCCTGCAGCAGAATTGTGATGTGAGAGGATCATTTGTATTCCATAAACACCCTGTGTTTATAGGGGAGATTTTGCCCTTACAGGCACTCAAATCAATGTTGGCACTCATGAACCAGACCTCGGATGCATTATAAAATTCTAATAAATAAATAAATAGAGAGAGAGAGAGAGAAGGAAATATCCTATGGTGCAAAAAAGACTGCATGTTTGGCTCATTATGTCCTATAATCACAACATGACAACAACAATGACTGAAACAGTGCTGAGTGCTGCAATTACATATATATATATACATATACTGTATGACTATGACCCTGACTATGGTCATTGGTGTTAAAGTAACAGGTGTGCATGTGAGTTTGCAAAGCCATGTGTTATACTACAATCTCTTTTTGATCTGTACAAAGTGTCCCTGGAAGCATTTGGCAGAACACAAAGTGTGCGGGAGTTGAACATCAACCCACACAAGCAAATTTCACACAATATGATATTGCAGCACATATTAAACAGCTTTGAAAAATGTTTTGATATCAGATTAAATATTTGGATCCCGATCTCACAGAAGAAAAATGCAAATTCACAACTTCTGCATGAATGGTAGCAGATTGTCTTTCTTTTTGCCACTCTATGTGCACAGGTTTTTTAGCAATGATGCAGGCTATCATATAAGCTCAGTTTCAGAATGTGTTCTGGGGTGAGTCTAGGTAGGGTCTTGTGGCATTATCACGCATTGCAGACCCCCATTATTTTACTGAACCACCATTTCATTTGTGAATGTTTTTTTTAAGGGTCTGCACAAGAAGCACAAGCAACTGGACTTCCAGAGGGAACAGCTCCAAAGCATTTAGTGTCTGTAAATGCACCCGTCAGGAACAGGTGAGACAGGGTCACTGAGAACAGTGTGTGGCAGTGAGTGAGTTTTTGTGTTCTCATGTTCTACACATAAATGTGTCTTCCTCTGCTTGTGTGCGTGATTGTTTGCAAAAGGGCAAGTGCAATGTGTTCTGTCTTTTCCATATGCTGCAGGTTTGTGATGGGGGCAGCTTCCAGCCGCCCCATAAGACCATCCCTTCATCTCAGATTGTGTATAACCTGAGTGGCATCAATGTGGAGAACTACCTGATGGTCACAGCAAATGACTACATCAGGAACAGGTTAATGCAACCAGTCTTTACATTTGGTTTAATGTAACCACATTTAGAATTCAGCCCCTGCTTCATTGATTAGTTTGCTATGTTTTAATCAACACACTGATTGCATGAACGATATGAAGCGATGTTCCAAGAAAATCAGTGGTTATATCACATACTATTTCCCATTTTAAAATTATATTTCCTAATAATACATCATTTTGGTGAGTTAACATGAGACGGGTTGCTAATAATGTATGGAGCTCAATTTTCTTTTGGCTTTATTCAGTCGGAGTAGAAGTTGACCCAAAGGAAAATGAAGAGATTCTCGTAGTGTCCATTCCTTTTCCTTTTAAACAATATAAATCAATCAACTGGGAAGCTTTAGATAATTAAAACTGACAATCAAAAGGAAAGTTTATTGTATATAATACAAGGATGTGCAGAAATCTAATTAGCTGTTGATTCGGCCCGACAGATATGGGTCTCTTAAAACTGACACAATGCCGATGTTTTAGATATGGCGGCCAATATACAGATCTTTTGAGCCAGAAACAAAATAGACCGATTTGGACTGATATAACTATGCAAAAGTAATGAAATGAAATGAAATAATATTAACATTATCAACCAATTCTAGAAATTCTGTAAAAATGAAGAAGAGAAAAATAAAATAAATAACTAAACATCAGCATTGTAGAAACAGCAAGCCTTTATTTAGTGTGTACCAGAAAAAAACATATTGGTGGATATCAGATGACATATACGCCGATACCTATATGATGCTGATGTGTCTGCAATAGGCTAGTAGTTAATAGTTAATGTTTGGCGTACTTTTCTGATAATAATGATAATAAACTTTATTTATCTAGCACTTTTTTAACAAGGTTAAAAAATGGTTTGAAGAAAAACACAGGAGACTTTTTAATGTCGGTTTTGATGCTTTTATCCAAAAGTTCTTCTCATCTGCAGATATACTCTTTGATCAAAAGAAAAACAAGCATGCAAAAGACAGTGTGTCACGTATTAGTTCTCAGTGGCATTCAGAGCTCTTTGTTTTGATCGATATATGTTTGTTTTTTTCAGGTACGGTGGCTTTGCTTTTGGCATGCCGCTCCCTCCTGACTTACAAATGGACCTAACAGCGGTGCCCAAAAACCGCACTCTGTCTAAGGTATGTTTGTCTCCTGCTTCCCTGCTGCCTGTCTCATTATCACTTTAACTGCTGTACTGATGAGTAGTTGAAAGTTAAAACATGACATCCTAGCCAAAGTTGTTTGGCTACAAGATCAAGGCTCACAGATGGAACTGCATTGTTACACCATCAGTGTCATCATAAATATTCTTTACTGCGGCAATTATGCTACAGTTTTAGTGTGTACATTTCCTCACATGATGACGTCTGCATTTATTGCCTTGTTTCCAAAACATTTTGATAGTATATTTTAAAAATTTTGTAGACTTACGTACCCTGATCTGTAACAGTGTGAGTGATGGTTTCTGTGGATGTCTGTGTTTGTGCTTGCATGGGTTTAGGTCTGGTTCAATCCTGAGGGCCACCACACAATGCCAGCGTACTTAAACAGCCTCAGCAACTTAATCCTACGCTCCAATCTTCCAGCAGACAAGGATCCGCGTAAATATGGTAAGCTAGAGTTGGTACTGGAAAAGTATATTTTTTTAAATGTAAAACAGTAGCCTACACAGTGTGAAATTTTAGTTAAATTGAGCAGTGATTCCACACGTACAAAGACAAGAATGGTAAAGATTAATGCTATCTAATCTAAATTTGTTATTGTTTGTTGATTTTAGAAAACATATTTTTGGTGGTATTGACCCTAATTCATGCAGACACACAATACTCCCTGGTTATTGTGAAAGATAATCTGAAGAAAATGAGTGGGATTGAGCTAAAAGGAATGCACACATCAGCATTGGGAAAATCTATCTATCTAGGAAGGTGCTACTGATTGAGCACCCAGTGCATTTTGTATACTAAATATAAAGAGAGCTGTAAACAGTGTGTTTACTCATGGTTCATTTCACTGGATTAAAGCCAGGGGGTGCTGTGTGTCCTTAGACTCACATCACTATGCATGTTGAATACTGATGAGGGCCACTCACTGGGGAGCTATGCTAAAGAGATCGAGGCTGGCCCACGTTTTCAGTACTGTTTCAGCTCTGAGTATCACCCTGACCATCTGCCTGGCGGCAGGAGTACACAAACATACACACAAGCACATGCAGAAATGCTCATAAAAACACAACAGTGCATGCACAGTAGCACACGCACACACACAAATTTCTTCCCCACCGGATGATAAAAGTGCTCCAGGGTAGTGTAATCATTTAAATGTTGCCTGCGAACTCACAGCGGTGGCGGAGGGGGGTGTCAGGGGTGGAGATCCAGGGAGATTACTTTTCAAGGTGATGGTTTATCTGTCAAATCTAAAGCCCTAACCCCTCACATTGTGTACTGCAGTACCATCTCTGGGTTGGGACCCTTTTAAGGTTTGCATCAAACAGTGTCTCTCGCAGGATTTCTAAACTTAACCGCCCACTGCCCAGTGCCATCACACTCCTGTCCGCTGTCAACAGTACAGATTCTGATCACTCCCACATGCAACATTGTTTTGTATTGAAAGTCTGTTTGCCCCATCCCACAGAGAAAAAATGCAGTTACTCAACTGTTGAATAATGCACCTTTACAAGTCTTCAACTGAAAAAGAAACCTTACTTAAAGGTCCAGTGTGTACGATTTAGTGGCATCTAGTGTTGTAGATGCTGATTGCAGCTCCCTCACTTCACCCTCCCCTTCAAGGCACGATGGAGAAACTATGATGGCCATTGAACGCATACAGATAGATAGAAGATAGAAGATATAAAAGGCTCAGTCTTACAAAAACATAACGTTTAATATATTCAGGTGATTATACACTAATGAACACACCTATGAATATTATATTACATTTCCGCCAATAGATCCTCCTAAATGTCACACACTGGAACTTGAATTCTTAGCCTGAGGCACTGAGAACTAAAATATTTTGAAAATGATGTAGATCATGACCAATTTTTCTAATTTATTAAAATTAGTCTATGAGTCAATCAACAGAAAAAAATAGTTTTAAGAAAAATTGTCAAAAAAAACCCACTGGTTCTAGCTTCTCAAATGGGAATATTTGGTGGTTTTCTTAGCCCTTTATAATAACATAACAGACGGCTGCAGCTCACAATGAATGTAATTGTTGTTAGTTGCCTCATTGGAAAAAAACTACCGACCAGATCTGGGAACATCAATGACAATGATGATGTTGTAATGTTAATGATTATCAGATTTGGATCGGTCAATAGAACCCATCTATCCTACCAAAGTGCCCTTGAGTAAGGCACTGATCGTCCAGCTTGCTCTAGGGTTGTTGTGCTTTGGATGCGCTCACACTCTCCTAGCTCAGGAAATGTAAACAGAGACATGTAGGGGAGTAGTTCATGTCTGTGAGCATCTAGAAGCCCCCCAAAAAATGATAAAGAAAATTCAATTTCCTTTGTGTGCATCTGGCAAATTAAATCATCTTGCACTATATTTTTCAATTAAGTGTGTCCCTGGCTAAGAGAATATCATTGCTCATTTGGCTCCTGTGCTGGAAAAATAGCCTGTATGCTGTTGTTTTTCTACCGCTAACATAATATTCTATTTCTTTCCATTACAGCCATTTCAGTTTCCAGTCACCCCTACTTCGGCCGGGTGGATGATGAAGATACAATGTAAAGGCTCCACTTTAAATCCTTTCTTCTGTCTGTCAGTATTCAACAACATCAGTGGCTGCACTTGCGAATAGATTCTAATTAGCATTCTAATAGGTGAAAATATCTCAAAATTAGTCAAGTCATGATGAATATAATTGGCTGTTGTTTGGCTGAGCCCACAATAAATTATGGAAGCATCCTACTGTTCAATTCAGGACATCTAAGTCAGGGTGGACTCGGGGCAGGGAGGTACATGACAGCAGTATTTACCCATATTTGATTTTCTAAATGGATTTCCCTGAGCTTGCACTATTGATCAGAGTCCCAATATAATGAGTGTTTACCCTGAAGGTGGCACAGAGGTGGATTGATTCTACCCTACTTCCCAAAATGAGTTTATTTAAAATACTCCACATTCTGCTTTAGAGACCCAGACTCCGGAATGAGTGCTTGTGTGTGCGCTTGCATGTACGTATGCAGATGTGCGTGTGTTCCAGAGGATCAAATCAAATAAATCATTCCAAGAGTGGGTTGAGCTAAAGCTGTGGCCTCATGAACGTCTGTCCTCTCCAGAGCCTTATTAGCTCTAACCATTTCACTGACCATTTCCCTGTGTTTACTGCCCTTCAGTTTCTCCACATACACCACATTCCTTTATGTGTATAGCATTTCCGTAGCTGTTGGCCTGCTGAAGTACTGCGTGTGCACAATTATCCCTCCTTCCAGGGAGATATTCTGCTCCTTCAGTTAAAGACACAACAGGCGTATTACTCCAAATGTCTTGATTCTGAAAGTGTAGTTTTGGCCACCAGAGAATTTCTAAGGCTATCTTGGCCATACTGATAACAAGCCCGTTCAGTAGCTGCTGCTGCTGTCTATCCTCCGTAGTTAGTGCTGCCCTAAAATGCCCACCACATGTCACTCTCTGCTATTCTCTCTCCTTCCCACTCGGTCACTCTGCCAGCTTCACCGTCGTCCCATTTTTTCAGCCTTGCATAGCTTTTTCTGTTTGGTTGGTGGTGGTGTGCCCCGGCCAGAGGACAGAGGTAAAAGTAGTACAGTAGCGTGCAGGACAGGAATAGAGAGCATGGGAGATGAACAGGTAGCAACCTCAAGAAAGTTTTTTACTGACTTGAAGAGTAACCTAGGGATCAAAGGCTTAGCTGGTAGTCTGGGCTCTAGGCTGGACAATAGGATCTGCAGCTTCACAGTAACACAGCTGGCTTACCGCCTATACAACAAGAGCAGTGTGAAGTTGTTCTCTATATGGAGCCATCTGTTTCTTTTGCAGTTATTATCTTGTCAGAGGCGAAGCACAAGCATCTCTTTTAACAAAGCTGTTTGTTATTAATGAAATTCCAATTATTGTGAGCTACTTCAATAGTTCATATGAGTCAGGCCCCAGCAGGGAATGAAATGATAGTTTGTAGAAGGGTTTTGAAATAGGTCATTGTTTTCTGGAAAAATTACACCAGGTTGCCTCATTCAAAGTGACTCTGCACAATAGAGTATATTGATTCATTTGTACACTTCAGTAGTAACTGCACAATACAGAAACAGGTTCAAAACAAAAATAAAACAATACAGTTTTTTAGCATCCAGGAATATAATGGACATTAATACATTAAGAATTGGCGTGGTTGAACAATTCACTAATTACAGACATGAATGATAATTAATGATGTCAGTGCTGGGACTGACATCTGAATGATCCCATTTTTTATCTTACAGTATCCAGGGAATGCTCCAGATCCTAGTGGCTATGTGTGTGCTGACGGGTTACTCAATCACGACAGCCAGCTTCGCCATCTATGAAGTCAACGAGCACCACAGCGGCTCCAAGAGGCTCCAGCACATCGCTGGCATCAGCGAGCCCTTCTACTGGGCTGTGAACTACTTTTATGACATGGTAACATCTTCTAATCACCTAACAGGAGAACATCTCACTAATCTGGATAAATGTAGTTGAACCCTTTCTGTGTCAATCATCAGTCATGCTCAATGAAAGCAAAAGCAAACATATGTATAATATATCAATGTCCAATGCTACATTTTAGATTGCAAAAAAAAAAATCTAAACTAATTGATAGCACAACTTCTTTTTACATTATTATGAATGCATGTATTCGTTATTTATATAAAACAAAATGTTTCAATTCAATAGCACGCCTTCATTTTGCTGCATCATATCCCATGTTTTTCCACAGGTCATGTATCTGATCCCTGTGACCTTGACTGTCGGTGTGATCGCAGCCTTTCAGATTGACGCATTCACAGATCGGCAAAATTTGGGTGCCGTCACACTGCTTCTGGTGCTCTTTGGGTGAGTAATTTTTGCCTCACAACATCATGTGGTGCAGTCTAATGATGTGTTTACAGGGATTTTAGGGGGTTGATTTACAAAGCTCACTGAAAAAAAAAAATCGATGTCAGTTTATGGCATTGTTTGTCCTTTGGCTTGTTTTGTTCGTGACATTGTTGACCGAAAGTAATTTGACTATGGAAAAGGTCGCATGAGGCTAACAAATCAACACCATTCAGAGACAAAGCCACTGTACTAAATATGTCAGTGTCTGTTTGCTTCATTGTTAAAGGAAAACTATGTTTTATTACAACTTCCACAAACTCTGGAGGTGCAAAGAAGTATTATTTTTTGAGCAGCTAATGACGAATACAATGTACGTGTATTACAGTGTATGATGTATGTATGCTTATGTAAGGAAAATATTTTTATTCAATATTATACTGCAGTGGGCTGCAACTTCAATTTTGGTTGAAAATGATGTTGGGTCTGTTTAGTTGTTTTTCGAGAAAATAGTGGGTTGTCTTTGCTGTAACCTCCAAAACCTTTAGCTACATTCAAACCCAAATCATCCAAGGTTTCTAAATGTTCAAAACAATGTCCACACATACACACTCGGTTACTTTGTGTTCCACCAGGTTAGATTTACAGCACTGAGCATAAGGAGGCTGCTGTTCTTCTCACGCAAACATAACTCAGTTATTCAGAATTTCTTGCAAGACAGATGGTGGTAGGACTGAAAACATGTTTGTCCTATTCAAGCCAAAGACGTTACAGCGAGGGGAGGGAGGGAAATCAGGAGGCAACAGGGCTTAAATAGCAATAATATGACTTGGCGTGAGAGAGACTAGCTAGCTACGGTCTCAAGATACCAAGGTTTTTAAAATCAACCAATGAGATTTAGATTTTTGGAAAGGTGTCAAACCAATGACATGCCGTGTTTCCCGCATCTGGATCACTGAGATTATTTACACCATTCACCAGCTGTAGCTGAAGCTTAGCCTCCTATGTTTCCTGTTGCTGTCGCAGGCCTCGTCCTGAGCCCCAGATCTTAGAAGGCCAAGTCAGCACTCTGCTTCTCATTTATCAGACAGATGTCTCCCTCCCAAGCAATGAATAATCACAGCGCTCCATCTGTCAGGCTGCACCCACCTGGTCTGGTCTGCAGCCTTCTTGGTTCTGTTCCTTGTCATGGCTTGGCACCCGCAGTCTGCCTACCCAGCACCTTTTTTTTTGGGCATGGCACGCAGATGCTTTGTCTCTGTCTGGCTCTATCTGTTTGTGTCTGTCTCTTTCTTTTCCCCCACCCTACTTTTGTTCTTTTTCATCTCTTTCTCCCTTCTTCACTTCCTCTCCGTCTCGCTGACCCAGACACCCCAATCAAATGAACAAGCAGATTACGTGAGACAAAAGAGAGAACAAAAAAAAAGGGAAAAGGATGTTGTGCCACCAGGGGAATAAGGGGAGAAGTAATTTATCTTTCTCTCTTTTGGCGTCATGACTGAATGTTTACCCTCCTCATGGTGTGGTATTTTTCCCTCTTCCCTTTTCAGTATTCTTTGGTGCCTATTTTCATCAGTCTCACAGCAGCTCTGTTTAGTCAGTTAAAGGCCTGACCACTCCAGTTAAAAAAATGCAAGGTCATGTCATTTTGGAAGATGAGGAGGACTGTGTAAGCTTTCTGTATTTGGAACCAACCCAGCCAGATAACAGCAAGGCTATTTTAAGGTGTTTGTGTGGAGTTATTTTTACTTGATGCTGTGTTTAAAGTGTCCTGTCATTGTCAATTCCTCAGGTTTGCTACCTTCCCCTGGATGTATCTGTTATCAGGCGTCTTCAAGGATGCAGAGATGGCCTTCATCACCTATGTGTGCATCAACCTCTTCATCAGTGTCAACACCATCATGTCCACCTCCATTCTATACTTCCTGGGTCAAATTTCAATGCGCAACCCTGAGGTCAGCATACACTAGATCTAGTTAAATGCACGCTTAAATGTATGACTGTTGAGTGTAATAATTAGTAATTGTTGAGTGAAACCCAGCTACTCCCTGTAGCTGCAGTGATATATAGAGTTGCAGAGGAGTGAGAAGGGCAAACATACCTCAAATATCCAGTGACAGGGAAGTGAAAATTACAAGTCAGGATGAGCTCTCAGGTTTTATATCCTCACTTCTCTCTCTCTCTCTATCCCTCACTTCTCAATCTCTTCTGTTCTGCCCATCCCTCCTGCAGGTCATCCAGGACATCTTCCAGAAGCTGAGCTACGCCTTCCTAATCTTCCCCCAGTTCAACTTCGGGAATGGGCTAATGCAGCTGGCCAGGATGAACATAGAGGTCCAGATCCTCAGTGGCTATGGCATCGATGCCTATAAGAACCCGTTCTCTCTAGATGCCCTGGGCTGGATGTTCATTGCCTCCTTCATCCAAGGCGTGGTCTTGTTCAGCCTGCGCCTCCTGCTCAACAAGTTCCTTATGCGCAAAGTCAGGTGAGGAAAGCAGTAGCCAGAGATAGTGTGGCCATGCCGTGAATGAGCGTGGTATGCGACCAGCCTTGTAATTGAATTGAGAATATTTTGTATGTACAGAATGTAGAACTGAGATACATTTCTCCTGAATATCACACCACAAAGTGCTTTCTTTACCTCCAAAAGTTGTTTTCTACTGAAAGACACAGTTCACTGCATTTTATAATCCTCTTGAAGCCCACAAAGGGAAGAAAAAAAATGCAGAAAATAGACAAATGAGTGTGATTGAATATGTGTCCCTTTTAAGTAACTAAAGAAAATAATAAAACAACAAAGATACATGTCCTAATGCCAAAACTATTGAGCTCCGAAGATTAGTTTCAGTCAATCACAGATTTAATGGGTTGTTTTCTGCATCTCTGCCAGTTCAACTCAACTTACCTGTAACACCTAATAGTAAGTATTCAAAGAATCCTTCTCCCTTTGCAGGCATCTGATTTGCGGCAGAAAGACAGTGCCCCAGGGGGCTTGCGAGGACAAGGATGAGGATGTGGCAGCTGAGCACCTACGGGTGTCCAGTGGAGCAGCCAGCTCAGACTTACTACAGGTCAACCAGCTCACTAAGGTCTATCAACACCTCAAGAAGAAGGTCCCTGCTGTTAAGAGGCTCTCTGTGGGCATCCCGGCAGGAGAGGTAAGCCTTTACCCATAGTAGAAATATGAATGACTAAACCAATCAGTAGGATAACAAAAGGGACATAATTAATGACTTTGATCAACCTCTTGTGAGATTATAGTATTATAGTACTGTAAAGTGGAGAAATGCTTCAGGATGACTAAACAATGTTTGCTTACAGTGCTTCGGTCTGCTGGGAGTGAACGGAGCAGGAAAAACTACCACCTTCAAGATGCTGACGGGAGATGTTAGCCCCACTGATGGCTCAGCACAGATCAGGGACTGGGATGGGTAAGCTGTTCATGAATGTATTTGTTCATCATCAAACACATACAATGCAACCTTTATTTGTTATATTGTGCTGTCTTACTGCTTGCCTTCTGTTTATACTTGTGGCACTGCATGCACATTTCCTAAATACATCAGGTTAGCATCTGTATACTTAAACTGTATTCCTGAAAACTGAAGATTATTTATGAGAATCACTACAGAGGAGATGACAGAAGAAAACCCATCACAGGACACTGCTTTGATTGAATTTTTGCAGGTGCCCAAGCTGCACAGTCTAATGAATCTGAGCTAGATTCAATTTGCATAACACAAATATCCACAAATGAGGGATGTTATTGCCTCGCATCAGCCAAAATTTAAACCAAAATGGTTTGGGATTTAGCAAGTAGCAGCTGTATCCCAGACTCTTCTATACAGGTATAAGCCCCCACTGTACTCATGAGTCTGGCTCCCTATTACAGCTCTGTTGTTGTTGAGCTGTGTGTTGGGTATTCCCAGCACAGCACACTACAGACAGCAGGGCCAACAGAACACCCTGCCCTACACCTACACCATGTGTGGTGGATGCCATTTGAGAGAATATGTCTTTCTTATATGTCCTTTTTTCCCCCAGGCGGTTGGTAGATATCATGGAGTGCCGAAACGAGGGAATTAACATCGGCTACTGTCCCCAGGTGGATGCACTGGACGATCTACTCACCGGAGAAGAGCACTTGTACTTCTACGGTCGCATACGAGGCATCTCAAAGAAGGAGTTAGATGGGGTAAGAAAGAGCTGCAGACTCTGTGCTGTTTTTTTAAAGCTCCGGTTAGTGACAACACCATCCACAAAATGACACGGAATCTGATATAAATTCAAAGGTGCACTCCCACTGCAAGACTAGTAACTGTCAGTGCTTCCATGCATACTGAATCAGAGTGCGTGTTAAGTGTTGAGTGATGTGCACTGAAAGCTGTACTATCTGAGGCAAAATGGAAAAGCTTTTGTTGTCAGCTCGTGCAATCCAAACTTCAGAATTAAGCTGATGCTGTGTGCTTCACTGCAGACAAATTTACATTTAAACGATACTTTGATGATGAGAGGATCTCATTTGACATGTCACTTTAGCCCCATTCTTCCCATTTATCTTTCTGAGAACTAATCAATCTTGCTTCTGTGGTGATTACGGAGTGTGTCTGTCTTTTGCTGCTGCTG